AGATCGCTGCTGCCCGACCCGGCTGCCCCAGGTCGGGTCGCACAGGGACGCCCACCACCCCGGGTCGCAGATAACAGGCCCAGATGGCAGCAGGGCAGGCGGGATGGTGCTGACCCGCCCTGCCTGCAGTATGCAAATTAGCCGCCTTCTTTGTTGGCAGTTAATTTGTATATTGTGCTGATCAGCCAATGGGAGGCATAGCGAAGGTATGGTCAATTACCATGTTTGTCTATTATTAGATAGGACTAGTGCTAATACTAGGAATATGAGCCTCTCATAAACAGATGCCAACATCTATACAAATCAGCTTCCTAATCAACTAGGCACTTCAACATACACAAAGTACAATTAGGCAAATTCAGTAAGTGAGCTCCAAAGTATATTAAAGAAGAATAAGTGTAGTTAAATAGTAAAAGGTCAGGAACTAATACTAATAATTAGAAATTCAAAAATTGTTATAACAATAAAAATGGCAATCCCTATAAAATATAAAAAGGGAAACTTTCTACAAGAATTCTATAGGCAGCAGCCATAGGGGGTAGAAGGAAATTTGATTATCCATGTATAAGTCCAACATCATGTGATTTCTTTCAAATAGAGCCTGTAAAATACTTCCTGAATGGAACAAATTCTAAAATGTAGCACAATCTCAATTTCAAGTTTTACAAGTCTCCCTTACTCATCCTTCACATTTTGAAAAAGAACATGAGCCTTTCAGCTTCACTCTGTAATGACTCAAACAGGAAACCCATCAATCCTCCTGTATATACTGGGCCATTTTCATAGAAGAAAACCTAAATTAACCATAACTTGGGATTTACAAATTAATCTTTTTTTATTTTTCTAAACATTAAAACTCCAATATTATCAATGAATAAAACAGGTGATAAAAGTAAGTCAAATGCCCAAATTGGCTTCAAAGTGCACCACAGTAATGTAGTAACAAAAGAACAAAATTCATTAGCCTCAATGTGGGCACTGGAAAAGAAAGGTCCTGAAATTGGAGTGGACATGCTTGATCTGATCCCTGTGCATATCTATCTGCACAGTGGGCCTTGAGGGAAGAGAATTATAATCAGTTCTCATGGGCCTACTTTGAGCTTGTAAAACTCAAGGGCAAGGACACCAAAGAAGAAATGACCCCACAGGGCTCTTGCTTACTAAAACAGCCAGGAAAAGCACACTTTTTTTCTCTCTCTAGTGAAGATTTAGAAAAATTAATGTTATAAAACCACTCATTATGTTGA